CCCTACACCTTATTCTTTAAACTAGAGGACCTCATCTGTGAGTAGGGAGAGTTAGAAGTGAAACTTGGTCCCCACGTTCATTTAAAATGTTGTGAAGAGTTGAACACACACAGTAGAACTCCACTAGTTGTTCATGCTGTCAACTTTTGGATAGACCTTTTCAGAAAAGGTAGAGTGTGAAGGGATTTCAGAATCTTCAGTCCAGCTTTTCATTGGACACCAGTTTTCTCAGTTGCACACATCAGAGTTTCCACTGGACGATATCGTTTTTATTTCTAAGGCCTCAAAGCCCTGGATTCAAGGCAACTCAACTACACCAAGATGGCAACTGGGGGAGAAGAAGGCTGGAGAACACCGAAGCGGTCACACCAGGGGCAAACTGAAGGAAGACCGTTATTCAGCTGAGAGCAAAACCAAGTTCTGTAGGGACAGCAGGGAGCAGAGATGAAGCAATCCTGAGATATTAGGCAAACCCTAAAGATCAGAAAAAGGCACATCTATTGGGCAGCAAGACTTCCAGAGTAAGGCTGCCAGCCTTTCTAGGCTCACAGTACCACTGGGCCCATAGTCAAGGTGGCAGAAGCACCAGACAGGCATGGAAATAATCAGGAAGTAAAGAGGCGTAGCAATGAGATTTCTTCTTGCACATATGACTGAAGGGAATTGGGTTAGAAGAACTTTGTTTTCTCGGAGTAGAGGTTCTAAAAGGTTTCATAAAGAGAACATTTTAGTGATAACCACACCAAGAGCTCCTTGGGGACTGGGACGTCTCATTTTCTTTGTGAAGCCATGTTGTGATGAGGGTCACACGCCTAACAGACATTTAGGAAACATTTTCCCAAAGAATGAAAGACCCCAAAGGACAGAGAGCTTAGGAAAAGGTTATTAGGAGGAATTTTTCTCTTTTATTTTGCCCTAAATACTCTTTCTTGGATGTTAGGCTGAATTAGGTATTTGGGGACAGGAAAGACTAAGGTTATAAAAGACAACAGAGTCAGTGATGGCAAAACCATCCTGGGAAAGAGAAGCAGCTGTATCGGACCGGGAGGGTCAAGAAAACAAGATCCCAGCGCCAGCTGTCCTACCACCTCAGTGAGCAATCGCGATCAGGTCACATTCCCTTTGCCCTTTGTACAAATGGGCGGATTGGACGCTATGTTCCAGAACATCTCTCTGGCTCTCAAGTTCCAAGATTTATTAAGATTACTAGGACTAAGCACCTTCACCTCTGAATCAGGCGAGTTTGAATGAGCTAGGGAGAGTTGCTCATGCCAAGGCAGCTCCTGGACATGTGATAAGGTGGCCAGTGGGAACTAGCTGTGGGAATGAGGGCACAGGGCACCGCTGCTCCTGGGGCTGGCTGGAGAGTGGGCAGTGTGTGCATCAGAAACCTGCCATGAGTCTTGGCTGCCATCCACAAGGGGTGCTGGTCTTTGAGCGCAGGTCATAGGACAGTAGGGCAGAGGATCTGAAAAGCCTTTCTACTCCTCCTCCTGCAGCTGCTGATGCTTCTTTTATTATCATTATTATTATTATTATTATTATTATTTTAATATTATTATTATTTTGGTAGTCTTGATCCTTACAACTCTACAACTCTGTAGGTTCAGCAAGTTGAAAAATTGTGATTAGCTGATTTGCCCAAAGATAGACTTTGGCTTAGTAACAGAGTTACCTTGCCTGGGCCACAGCTTACATCACTTTCTGTTTCCGTGTTTACCCAAGAGAGTTTGGGCACCTGTCTCCTCCTTTTCTTATGCTCTTTTTGAAGGCAAGGACCATGTCTCATTCATCCCTGCCTAGCCCACAATGTCCGACACAGAACAGGCCCTAACATGGTTACTAACCTGGATTCTCATGCTAATTTTTGCTTGTTCCTCTCCAGGGAAGCACGCACCTATAATTTTCCTAGTCTCCCATTCCCTGATATAATTTTTCCCCCTCAACAAAGAAAAGAGAAAATGGTATCACTTACTCAAGTTCGAAATTTACCTTTCTGGCTTTCTGATTTACCTGCATGAGGCTTTGTCCTATTTGGGACCACTCATTGCAAAAGAAATCTGGTTGCTTCCCTGTAGACCAGGAGATGGTGTGCCAAGCATGGGGCTTCATGGCAGTTCATAGGACCCTCCACCAGCATGTAATGGCTGGTGTCTCCTCCTTGCATGGCTGGGGACATTGTCAGAGCAGGCTCCATCTTTGTGGCTTGTAAATGAAAGAGAGAGGTGCCATGTGGGTGGGCTCCAGGACAACCAGTATCAGGGTATCAGCAGCAGACTTCTTTCTGCCTCAGACTCTGCCTGGGCAATGCGAGACTTGCCACCTCTGTTAACACTGGCCTCTTCGCTGGCAGCTACAGATCAGGCTGTAATTTTTTAGCTTAGTCTCAGCTTTCACACTCATGCCACGTTCTCTGCTGCCAGAAGACCCCCCCACCACCCCTTAGGACTGACTTTTCCCAAAGAATCATTTATTTTTAGCTACCGTAAAAATGTGACTTTTCTCTTGAGTTTTGACTTTGCTTCTTCAAAGCAAAATCTTGGTTGGATTCTTCCCATGATCATGATAAAAGAGATCATGTGTATCTCCCACTTTGATTTTCCACATAAAATTTAGGGCATTATGTCTTTCCAGTTCACGAATTTTTCTGCTTTAGGTAAAACAGAAGTAGACCAAATTTCTGTTTTGAAATGTAACAAGAGATTAACATGGCACAGCTCAAAAAGCCTCTAGCGATTTCTGATTGGGAATTATGAGGCCCAGGGTACAAGACTTGTACTACCCAAGGACCAGAATTTTTTCATGGAAAATTTCAAATGTATACAGCAGTAGAGGGAAGAGCAAAATGAACGTCCACCTCCAACGTACCTTCAACAACTAAAAATTCACAGCCAGTCCAGCCTTATCTATCCTGTACTCACTCTCCCCTATCCCTGGATAATTCTGAAATAAATTCAAATATATTTCATCTGTTTATATTTTAGTATATCTCTCTCAAACATAAGGACTCTGAAAACAAAACCATTATATGTATAATACCATTACTACACTTAAAAAGTGAACAATTAATCTCTTAATATTATCGAATCCAGACAATTCAAAAATTTCCAATTATCTCATAACTTTTTAATGGCTTATTTGTGAAATTCGGGGTTCAAATCAGGTCCACATATGGCAGTTAGTTGATGTGTTATGGCCTTGATATTAATTTAATGGGGCGATGCCTCATAAAAAAACAATCATACCCACTCTTCCAAGACTCAAAATCTCAGAGCCAGGCTGGCTCAGGCCATTCTTTGCCTTCATTCAGTCATGGACACCCAAGTTTCCATCACAATCACCACCCCCACTACCCCAGGTGAGGCCTTTGCTGTGTCACGCTGCAAAGGCTCCCTGCAGGGTGCCCACCTCAGCCTTTACACTTAGCTACTAGGCTCCTTTCTTGTTTAACCAGGTGTAGCCCTGCTTCTGTGGCACTGCCGCATCCCTCCATCCTTTCTCTGCATCATGTCCTGCTCCAACCCGATAAAACAGTGAAACCATAGCCGTCTTTCACGGCCTAAAACGCCTCAGCTCGTCAAAGCCTTCAGAGGCCCTCGCACCCCAGTCAACCCCCATGATCAGGCCAGCTACCCTATCCTCAGAACAAGCTATGCCCACCAACCTTCACAAATATTCTTATGCTAAAAATTTGCTTAAAATGCCTTCTTTCCTCTTTACCTTTCCAAATCTTGTCCACTCCTCAAGTTCAGCTCACATCCTGCCAAAGCTA